GTTTGCTTACGAGAGGGAACTCTGGCGCTAGTGTCTATTAGTATTGTGGGAAACTCTATGGTTTGTCGAAATTCCCTGTTTTTCCTCATTTATTCCTCCTCTATGGTTTGCTCCGCTCACTCAGCTGGCGGTGCTCAGCTGATCGGCACCGCTCTCTGGAGCTCTCGCTGCAAACGAGTTCCGGACGTGACTGTCCGCTTTTGCGACTTCTGGTCGCTCACATGCAGCCTCTGCCGATGTCACGGAGGAAGGAAAGGTAAAGAGAGGGCATGCCCAGCCGGCGCAGGGCGTAAAAAATGTGGCGGAAATTACGTCACGCGCTGTCATATTCACTAGGCACAATGGCGGCGTTTTGTTATTGTTGATGTAGTGCGGTGCGGCACCGTTCAGGCGGTCCATCGGTGGTGTGCGCGTTTTCATGGGCCTTGCACCTAACCGTGGCGTACTTCAGGTGTTAGGCAGCATCCATTCTTTGTGCCGCATTGTTAGCTACGCAATTTTCCTCCGGTGGTGGTTGTAACCAGGTGTCTGAACTAGAAACCACGGAAAGAGCGCGCGTATACTTACTCCGAATTCGCAGCGTCCGTCAAAATTATGCTGAAAAGCCATCAAAAGAGATAGCGACTTTGCTCAAGAATTCGTTCAATGAATGCCTTGCAAGTTAGTGACAGTTATACGGTGTTGCTTCTTATCACGACGGACGATGCATTTGCGGTCCACAGGCCCTTATTAAGACGGTAATGTAATCTTGCTTTTCATGTTCCTGTACAGTTACCGGTTGACGCTGAGCTGTGTTCCAGATAAGGAAGACAGAAACAAGTGCCTTCTTTTTATTTTCTTTTAATGACTAGCCACTTATGCGAAAGACATCTTATCTCGCATTTGGCTGGCTTTACCTGCCGTCCTTGGCGGCTGTGTTGACGCGTGAAGCTTCCCGCAGACCTTTTCTCACGCATTCCTTCGGCTAACTTTTTCACCTTTCGCCTTACGCGATCGGGGTCTCCATTTTCGGTAGCTACTAGTGTGCCTGAATCACACTGGAGACGTGTTCCTACGCACTTTCGAGTGGTCTTCGCTGCTTTCGGCCTTTGGGATATCCGTAGGAACCAGCGCGCGCCAGACAAAAGAAGGGCGAAAACAAAAGAGGCCGGCGCAAACTCAACGGGCTGCCACGCACACAAGTTCCACGGACGCCGACTTTACTGGCATAATTACGGACTTCCGGGTTTATTGCAGGGAAGGCATTTTTTCTTTTTTTATCGTTGTGTCTAGCCCACAGCCTGGACGAAAATTTCATAAAGCCCAAAGAGAAGAGCAAAAGGGGAAAAAAGTGATCTGAAAGACGCTGTACCAATTTCGGTGCCTGCTTCGTCACGCGGCAATGTCCGAAATATCATCTTTATTTTCACAAAGAACACGTCAAAAAAAAAAGCTTAACGTGCAACTTGCCGTGTGTATCGTTAACGCCGGCAGTGCAAGAGTACAACATCCATACGCATAGATTTCGTCAACCGTGTCGCGGCAAGACAGCGTGTTGAAATCCGTTCCGTTGGGTTCGGATAGCACCGACGCACGCGGCGCGCAGGCCACATGCTTTTTGAGACAGAGAGGGAGTCGCGCCTTCTGCTTCGCATTCACATGTAAAGAAGAGAGGAGAATTTGCCTAGTTATTATGGCCGACTTCAGGCTTCATCGTGGCTTCACAACGAGTGGCGTCAGGGCCTCTCCTTACCTTTCCTTCCTCCGTGGCCGGTGTGAACATTAGTCGCTTTTTGGTCGCCAGTCGCAAATAGTCACGCGACGGCTGCTAGTCGCCGGTGTGCACCAGCCTTTAATGTAAAAACAGCGAAGTTAGATATTTTGGTACCAAGTGAAGATCCCGTGACACTGCCTATTGCAGGCAGTTGTTACTTGAAAAGCCTTGCATCTGCTGACCCATTACTTTCAATTCTTGAGCAGACACGAAATAAATTGTTATTAAAATGCTACACGCATTATATAGGCTTAGAAGATCTTCGTTAATACGCAGCTGTAGTTTATTTTGGATCTGGTCTCTTCAACCGCTTCCTACAGAACTGGTTCGTTCAGGTACAATAAGGGCTTGATGAAAAACTACAATTATCCATCACTGGCGACAATTTTTTTTTGCCAAAAAGCGTGCAGAATTAGCATTCAGCAAGTATCGAGAGTGTGGAATGCATAATGCATACGTTGAAAATGTGGCATGCAGTCAGTCAATGAATGCAATCAATATATGTTGTAACTTGCAGTTGCGGGGCACAGCGGTCGCGTTTCGATGGAGGCGACATGTTTGTCTCTCTTATACTGCGCAATGTCAGCGCCTGTTCAATACAGACGGGACAAATTTCCGGAGCCCTACCCTATGTCGTGTCTATCGCAATCAAATTGTGCTTCTTGGACAAAGAACCCAAGATTTTCTTATAAGTACCTTGTGGTTGCCGTTTGAGGGATCGTAGGAAATGTTGAGCAACACTGGTAATTGTACATTTTAGCTACAAAAGGAAAAATAACGTAACCCAAGTCACTAACAGTTTAGGAGGTGAAATGAACACAGTGCAGCGTGGTCATCTTTTGTGATACTATACTGTGCACAATGCAAAAACAATCGTGTCCGGCATCGCTTTGACAGACACGGTGTCGGTTTCACGGTGTCGCTTTCACAGAAAACACCTAGAGGGAAATCCGGCGCTATGACCAGCTGGATGCAAGGGAATGCCTGTATTTGTGAGCTTTGAACATTACTCGGCTTTCAATACCTCGAAGCCGCATCTGGCTTCACGTTAAAATGATTGGTAAACGCAAAGCATTTCTTAGCGAACTTCGGCGACATTGAGCGTATCTATCTATCTATCTATCTATCTATCTATCTATCTATCTATCTATCTATCTATCTATCTATCTATCTATCTATCTATCTATCTATCTATCTATCTATCTATCTATCTATCTATCTATCTATCTATCTATCTATCTATCTATCTATCTAGCCGCTTACGTTTGGGTGCTCCCGTGGGCACCCGTTTAACTTGGCGTGAACAAAAGTTAGCTTGGGAGGGTAAGATGGTTTCACGAACATGACGCGATAGTCAAAACATGAATTATTTCACAATCCTGTCGTCTACGTTCTCAAACACTTCCCGCACGACAGTGGTACATACCCACGGGCGGGTATGTGCCGCTGCTGTGCGGGTATGTGCCACAGGTGATTGACACTTAGTATCTACCCAAGTATGACGAAAACACACATGGACAATTCGAACGCGTCAGCGTTAGGAAATACTCCACATCGGTATCGTCAACCCAAGGAATGCAAAGAATAAATGTCAAGGTTCCAGCTGGAATGCAACCAAAGCATTCTGCGTGGCAGTAAGCATCTTACCTTAGAGCTGCGCCACGTCTCGGAACTTCTTTTCAAATAGACGCTAATCTTCGTAAAACATCTATAGTGGTTGCAGTGGTGCCTAGCCAATTTTATAACCGTCACATGTGTGCGCCCGATCGGGTCAACGTCAAATGTGGTTAGTTGGCATGCGGTCAAGTTGACTTATGTAGCAGTGTCCAGGGCCAGCATCCTCGGGAGCATCAGCGCTTCATATCAGCTTCTGGTGTTGCAAATGCACATGTTCCAGTTGGCATTGTTGCGCAAGCGCAAACAACTGTTTATATAAACATCTGCAACTCTTTAACTTATGTCTGTGCGTGCAACATTTGTACATATATTAGCGTCACTTTATGACGTGTCACTCAATAAAAAATTGCAACATGGTCAACTTCCTTCCGCATGCTTCTCATAACGTCGATTGCCAGGTACGTGGGATCTGCCGAATTTTTCGCTACTAAAAGAGCACGTAATGAGAAATTTATTTTCTTCGAATTGCACCAGAACGTTTTTTATTTAACGCTGAAAACTTCTGCGTCGATAAACAGTTTAACGATGAGTAAGAAGTAACCAACGGCCGCTAAGCATCACAGGCAAACGACCAAGCGCATTCTCTCTACTGCTTTCTGGAGCCTGTTTGTTTCTTTCGCCGTGTGGTTGTGAGTGGACATTTATTTTAGGATATAATGCGCGTCAATAAGGTCCGTTTATTAACGTTTTGTGTTAAAGAAGCTTTCTATACACAGTAGTATTCGATTTTAAGCCGAAGAATCGCCCAACACCACCCAACACAAGACTTGCGGACAAATATGCCGGCTGTGTTCCAATTTTTAGAGCGCATCGTAAACAACACATACAGCTCAGAAGACAGTGCCGAGCGAATGCTGTTACAAAAATGGAACACGTCTGAACGGCTTCGACACGAGCAGGTGCCACCGCGCGTCTAGAAGAAAAAGCCTAGATAAACACGCGTAGCTGTTGTATTTCTCAGACTATTTCGCGTTGAAATATAAAGAAATAAACGTTACTCACATTGATTGTGTGTAGAAGACTCTGGTTTTGCGTAGATGACCATTTCGGCGAGATCAAATTTATTTAAGCGATTAGCTGTGCCGCCATCATGTTGGGACAGCAAAGTAGCCTGCATCGTATTTGTCTACGATGCCGTCTTCTCGAAGCTTTCTATTTTGTCGACCACGTGAGAATCGGCATGGGACTTAATATGGCTACTGTTTAATTAGCTGTCAATTCAGCAGTCTCGGAAGAAACCTACCATCAATCCCACCACTCCAACAAAACCCCTTCTATAAAAAGTTCGCATAGACGGTTCCGCCACATTTCTCTTTAGTACTTTTGTAAGAAACTCTATGGCTAGCACTTCAAAATTCATTCGGGCATTAGGGTCTTATTGTGATAAGAACTTCTTTTTCAGGGGTTGGATCACTCGAGGCATTCCGCTTTATACAATACTTACTCTACTAGTATTATTCTGCAAAACTTCGAGTGTCATAAAGTATACTTAACATTTCAGTAGTGCCTAAAAATTTAGGCACCTTGCATTTCCACACAAGAAATCACAGAATCTTTAATGCTCACTCACCTGTGTGCAATCTCATGTGCAAAGACGTAGACGCCATAAAAACTGCCGACTCGTTCTTCAGATAGCCCCACTTTCCATTGTGTGCAAACTGCTCCAAGATACGCAGATCCTACATGAATGAGCGAAAAGTGAAGGCTGCGGATAGATTTGCATGACATTGCGGCTACAATGTCATACAAATATGTACTTTCTGCGGTTCGATGGTATTCCTGGGTTTTTTTATAGTATTACGTCGTAAGTCATTTGCTAGGGCATACTAAAAAATTGAGCTATGTTCTGCTAATCTTTCAAGCTTAAACTTTTATATGAAATTGATCATTCTACATAAGGCTAGACAATCAAATAGATAACAAAATTTCTGCTTGCTCCGGCTGTATTTCTGCTGCTTTTACCTAATATAGCAACAACTCGTGACAGCGGTATGTCGAATGCTTGACGACGAAGACGAAAATCATTTTCAGATGCGAAACAGCTTAGAGTCCAGCTCAATCAGGTGCACATTGTGACAGCCATTACTGCTCATGCGCCACTGCTACCCTTCACTCCCCTCTCCTACACTCCCCTCTCGGCGCTTACACTCGGCTACCTTGGCTCGCGTCTCGTCGGGATTACCCACGCTCCATCTCCTTTCTCGAACGCAATCGGCATGCTTGACTCACACCTCATCGGTCTCTTTAGTTTCCACTGCTGAAGCTTGCATTCAGTTTCCTTGCTCGAGCCTTCTCGATGTTGCAGGCGCGACGTCGCCATTCAGAAATGTTATCAGCTTTGCTAGCTCTCGAAACACCAGCGACGGCCCCGTTAGGTTAAATTGCTTCAGTGTGTGTTTTGGTGGGCTAAGGAGTTTCACTTTTTGATGTCCTCTCCAGCGCAGATAAACGAGCCGAAAGAGTGTTCACTCAATGTACACTCGAAAGTTGCAAGTGGGGGAGAGAGTGAAGTGACAGAGAGGTGACACGTGGTGAGCGCACGCCAGGCGAGGAAGAGGATGATGTCACTGCGCACAGCGAAGGATGGTGTCACCTACTTGGTATTGCTTTAACATCTGCGGTGAAAAGAGCACAGTGCGGTGCGTTGGGGTGGAGACACGGACGAACAGTGTTACACAGGCTAGTCAAAGAACTGCTCCGCAACTAATATGCGTTGTGCTACTAATTAGGCAACCGCCACTACCATCATGTCGAAAGTGCACTTCACTTTCTGCTGTTGCCACACATCGAAAAAGTGACCCTTTGTTAGCATAGCTGCATTCGCTCAAAGCAGCGGTTTAAAATAATGTAGGTTTGGGCGCGTTCGTTATGCATCGTTCTTCATAAAACAGAGCGCATAAAGCAATGAACGTTCACAACATGGAAGAAGGAGCAATTTCACCAGTTGTCGAGTCGTCGTGAGATCGACGAAGGCAGTAGTCTGCTTGTTCAAACTAAACTGTATATTTTTGTGAACGTGTGCCCGGACACACAAAAAAGCAGCGTGCGGGAGATTCACGCTGAAAACTGATACGGGTGTGAACAGTCGTTGGCCCTTAAGGAAGACACTATCCTTGGCACACGCCGTCTCATACATCATGCATGAAATTTACAACCCTATCGCTTTGGTCGCGTAGGCACTTTAACAAGCGTGACTGTTCACGTCCAGCATAGAATATTAGCAAAACAATTTTGCTGAATCGCGAAGTTTCTCAAACACTCAATAACGGTCTGCGGCGAGCGGTACTGGCAATCCTAGTGGATGTAAACCTGATAAAGCAAGAAACGAGAAATGCATTATCACAGTAAATATATGGCCTAGCTAGGTCAAATGCTTCTGTAAATCCTGTTAGGCATTCGTAAATCAGTTCAGGCATACGTCGAACACCTAAAGTTTCGCTAATAGAACGGAGTAAACCATGCTTTGAGGACCTGCCTAAAGTACGCGTACAGGAAAACAATACATAGCCAGCAGACGAAGCAGGAAGCGATCCCCAATAGGCGCGGTTCAACCTGTAACCGCTGGTGGTGGCTCCACAAGATTTCGGGACTGTTGTTACCCTCGTTAGAAGGTGCCATGCTCGCCACGAGAAGCAAAGCCGAGTGGCGTATCCACGTCTGGAAGTCCCAGTGCTCTTCTCGAAGGGAGCCTCAAGCGGTGGGAAGCAACAAAGGAATTTGAATTCGGCAACTTCCCACTGCTCTCAAGTGCTGCCTTTCCTCCCTCGCCGCCTCCACTGTGGTGGAACATGCCGTTATAAGTTTGGCAGCCAATTTCCTGAGCAAGCGGACACCCATCAGTGCCGCAGCCATCATTTGCGACTCCTGGGTGGCCTTGGCCGCGATCTCGCGTGAGGAAGACGACAGCCTCCTTGCGCAGAGAGTTGCCCGGAAGCTACACGCTGTGAAGCAAATGGGCTACGACCTTTCGTTTCACTGGGTGCCTTCACATACCGGAATACCCAACAACGAAGTGGCCGACCGTGCCGCGAGAGATGTGCATAAACCCACCACTGGCGTCACGAAGTGCGTGTGCTTCGCGCATACCGACCGTCTCCTCACCACCTGCTACCTGCGCGAGCATCATCCCCACCCTCGCGTAGCAGCTGGAAAGCCGCCGCGTTAGGCACTGCGCCGTGCTCCCGACCGGGTTGCAGAAATTAGGTGCCTTTTCTCATCTTCTAACCACTACCACCAAAGCCGCCGCGGCGGCTCCCTCTCAAGAGATTACCAAGACGAGACCACTGTTTCCTTCCCCATCTTCTCACCAGAGACAACTACATCGCCGAACGAAAACATCGTCACTCCGGGCGTGGCAGTCCATACAGCTCAGATTGCGGCGACCTGGAGACTCTGGACCACCTTTTACTTCATTGCCCGGTGGGCGACGCCAGCAGAATAGTGATACTCAGAACTTACGGATCTCTCGGCCGGCCTCGGACAACAACTGAGCACATCTTGTTCGCGAACAGTGGCCGCACGCATATCAAGCATGCCCTTTCAGAACTGCTGAACTTTGTTGACGGAAGTGGACTGCATGAGAGAATTTAGAGAATTTGCACCCCGTGATTTTGATAGACGATCTGTGCGTCTCCCCCTTCTTTTTCGGTCTCTTGACTCGCTCTCTCCTTTCTGTTTCCTCTCTTCGCTCAAGTCTATTACCCACATTTTCCCTTCCCCTGAGAACCACGTCGGAGGTGTCGCACTTAGCTGCCGACAGTTGCGGGGTTCACACTTGTTTTCTTTTACGATTTTAGGAACCACTCCCCTCTCCCCCGCACGGTTCGCGGGCCAATATTTCTACGGGCATGTCCTCCTGATGGCTTGCTCGGCGATATTGCGAAGCAAACTGGCCGTGCAGGTGGTGTCCAAGCGAGAAACGTCCCTGCTCCTTGGCTGCTCTTCCACGAAAAAACAGCAGCACTAACCCAACCACCACCTTGTTCCGGGAAGGAACCAATTTTCTCTCTCCTCAGTGAAAATCGGGCCAAAGGAGCATTGTGTCAGGAGATGCGGCCCCGATTGTGCGACCGTGTGTTATTGACCGATGCCCTGGAGGGCGGTGTTTTGTGTGTGATTGGTGCTTCAGTCAAGGAGGAGCAGCCTGGCAGGGCCTAAAAGGCCACTCACCAGGCCCTATACCAAATTATAGTTGGACCGGCGAAGTTGTTGGGTGTCTAACGTGGTTGCTTGGGCGAGTTGGTACGACATGATTCACTTAAAAAAACAGCGCCAATAACGAGGGACAAGAGAATGAAGGAGACAGACAGCGGCACTGACTTACAACAAGATTTATTTGCCAGAACCGCACAATATATACTTGAACAGTATCTAACAAAAAAGAGAAAAATAGAAAACAAACAAAACAGAATCCACCTAACAGCCACGTAGTCATTTCTACAACGCACCATGAACAACACGTGTGCTAACGTGCCGAAGGAAATCTATTTCTTTTAGTGATAGCGCAATCGAAGGCCTGCTGACACATGCACTGCTCAGCCTTTCCGTGCTATCACTAAAAGAAATAGATTTCCTTCGGCACGTTAGCACACGTGTTGTTCATGGTGCGTTGTAGAGATGACTACGTGGTTGTTAGGTGGATTCTGTTTTGTTTGTTTTGTATTTTTCTCTTTTTTGTTAGATACTGTTCAAGTATATATTGTGCGGTTCTGGCAAACAAATCTTGTTGTTAATCAGTGCCGCTGCTTGTCTCCTTCTTTCTCTTGTCCCTCGTTATAGGCGCTGTTTTTTTAAGTGAATCTTGTTGGGTATCCAATGAAAAACATGTTGCCACAAAAATAATTTTAAATCGGTTGAGTACGAGCTGAAAAAAAAGGTTTTTTTGAAGCACCATGAAATGAGGACGAGAGGAGGCGAGCTCGAAACTCTTGCCACTCCTCCGTGTGGCCTTGGCTAGCCCAATCTCTTCCCTACTCTCTCCGGCATCCGATGTCGAGGTCCCGTGCGCATCACGTACCCGAACAAGCCCAACCACCGTGCACGCGAGCAGCGCTCTTTTTTTTTCTGTTTTTGACCAGCGTTAATTTGAGGTCTACTGCCTGGTTCTGGGGGATGGTTTGGAAATGCTGGCTTAGACGCGTTAGAATAGATGAGCATAATGAGTGCGCTAACGCGCAGGAGCTTTCCACGGCTGTCGTCTGGTGAATTCGCTAACCGCCGAATCGCGGGAACACGAACGCAGGCGAAACTCCAGCACATTAGCCCTGCATCTCCTTGATATTCGTGAAAAAAAAAAGAAAAGAAGGATGCCCACAGTCTTTATTGCGTCCTGTTATTTATCTACATATTTATTAATCTCTTCAAGCAACAAATACATCAACTACGCATGGTGTGTTAAATAATTTTCGCTATGTCACGTGTGTTACAAATCCACATGCCATGTTGTGGACAGAGACGCTCGCGCAGTGTGGAAGAGACGCTCGTGCAGTTTGGCCTCTGTGGCATTAGTAGCCTGTGTGAATATGAGTAAGTCTATGTGGCATGTGTTTTATTACGTGAAAGTGAAATATTTATTTTATTATGAAGTCGAAGACAACACTTCCGAAGTGGTATGGAAGTCCAGTCGTCAAATATTGGGTGAATGTGAGTTTTAAAACTGCACTGAACTGGTAAACCTAAC